AGGAAATAGTGTGTATCTTCTAATTAGTATAAGTAATCAGTTCTAGTATTATTCTAAGAATCTTATCAACTAGTTCTAAGTGAAAAGCTTTCTCAAGCATTCTAATAAGAACATTATTAAACCCAAGTGTAAATCCTACCTTCTAGGCTAGGATATTAAACTCCTGAAAAAAGGCATTAGTAGAATGTTTGCTCTGTCACAGAGACACAAGCTTGTTCTACACATTATACTTCTTATTCAGATTAATAAAGGAAGTACAGAGCTGCCTTATGAATTCTAAATACAACTCATTGTTCTAAAGTCAGATTAGGCTTCTAATCTAATGTCCTTTGATCCAGTTCTGAGCCTAGATAGTTGTATTACCTTCCTTTATAAAGGAGAGGACAAATAAGACACAATTAAGATCTGAGAATAGATTAGTTGAAGTAGTAGCCACATATAGTTCAACTTGGTACTGGAAGTCCTTAAAGTACTGCTCATTAAAGTTTGAAGGGTAGGCTACATGTACTTTCTTTCTAGAACAGGTTGTGACCTCCAGAATGATTAGAACAGGTTCTAAGAGAGTTAGGGGCACATAGTTAGTAAAGGCCTCTTAGATAGAGGTCTACACATATTAAGCTAGGTCTGCTCACAACTACTGATCTGGTAGGACAGTAGGGGTAGCAGTTAGTGTAGGAGGGTCCATGTTTACACTACAAAGGAATCAATACTAAACTAAAAAGGGTAATAAACAGAAGAAGGGTGGTAAAAGTTTAAAAGGGTTTAGAAAGTTTAAAATTTAAAAATGTAAAAGGGTTGGGACAAAGAAAAGAGATTAATGTAACAGCAAGTACTGATGCCCAAAACATAGGAGAGTTGTAAGGTAGTAATAGGTAGTCTTGATCTAATGTTAGTAACAGTATAGAGGGGACCTAAAGGCTCAGTGAGGGGACCCAGGCTACAACTATCCTACACAACAGAAATACAGAACACAAGTACTAGAACATAGTCAGAACTTGCAGAACAGATGTAGAGAGAGAGTGAGACAAGAGTAGAGTATATAGAGTAAGTCTAAGAGTACAGGACTACCTAGAGTAGACAAGATTAAGACTACAGGACTGGTCTGATCTTGTATACCTATATATACTAAACTATACAAGAGTACTCAGAGAGTATGAGCCACTAAGAATGATAAGCTACAAAGAATGAAAGAAAGGAAGGTCAAAGATAAAGGTACAAAGAATGAAGGGATGAATAAAGGGTAAGAGACTATAGAATGAACAAAGAATGAAAGGGTGGTCAAAGGAACAGAATGATGAAGTAAGGAGGGGTAGTAGTAAGAGTCAGTACACATATAGTCCATAGATGGCACTCCTGAGAGACAGAAGTCCTGAGTTCTAGTACAGAAGGGTACAGAACCCTCAGAACTGAAGGTACAAGAGTAGAGAACCATAACAGTATGTTTAGTTCTCAACTCTTCCTAATTTCCAAACACTAATATACTTGCCCTTAACAGATTGTTAACAAGGGAATGTAAGCACACTCTCAATAGTGTATATAGTCAAATGTCTTAAGGAAGCCACAATGGTGGAGATGTTAAATACTACAAAGAGATTTCTAGTTATTTGATAAATTTTGGAATGGAAATTTGTACATATGAAATGATCAGCCTAGCAACTTGTGCCTCCATAGTATACATCAAAATGATGAGATAAATACACTCAACTAGGTGAATTCAATATTGTATTGTATAGCTTGTTCCTTCTTTGCACCATGATCACCAGCTTGTTTTAAGTGTATTAAGAGTCTACTTCCAAGGAGGCAGAGAAATGACAGGCTTCCAAGACATCCTATGACAGAAGCTGCAAACCTGTTTGGAATCTTAATTTGTGTCTGAATGACATTAAATGTGCAACACACTATAGTACTAACTAGTATCAGTACAAGATTAATACAGTAAGAAGTGACAACACACAGAAGAAAACAGATAACTTGATTGCTAATAAGGACTTCAACAAGGGCAAGTCTCTGAAGGCTAGCTGTCAACCTCTAGTAATTCATAGCCTTGTATATGGCTAGAATTATGAGGAGAAGCCTGCAAGCAGCTGGGACAATCCTAGCTAGATATTATTACTTGTTGGTTATTTGACAGTCGAATTTCTTACCAGTTGACTAGCTCTGATTGCTATAGTATGTAACTATCAACAAGGCAGACACAAATAGTTTGAGTGAAGTTCTTCAGTGTAACTAGAATATATATCAGCTTGTATATGAATAAACACATTCGCTTATGTAAACTAATGTCGAAACTGAAACTACTTACAGGACAGAAATGCAATTGTGCCAAAAAGCTTAATAATGTATCAATCCTATTGATGTCTCAGCTATGCCAGCAATCATACTCAGAATAAGAACTTACAAGGAAGTAGACAATATTGACCTTTCTCCTTGGTGAAGATTTATCAAATGTTGCTGTGAGTTTGAATGTGATAGCTGGGTAGATCTGAATACATACTCAGAAAAACCTGATCTGAAGGGTTGAGATTAATGATGCTCTTATATGATAGTCAGAATGTATTGCTGATCTGAACTCTTTGTCCTTAAAGAGTACATGATATCTCTCTTTGACAATAATTAGATCAAACTGAGTTGAACTCACTAGTATTATAAACCAAGACTATGGCAATTGTAATTTGTAAAAAAGTAACAGAATTACTTTGGAAACACAAAGTGGTGCAATGCTAGAATCTACAGTTCAAAATACATTCTCACTGAGAGAGACATTCTGTGCAGCATCACAGTAGCCTAGGGTTTCATATGTTGAATAAATGAAGATTTATAAAGGAGGTTGCCTTATTTACCATACATGGCAGTCCTTACAACAAACATGTATTGTCAAGTATTGCTAGTGTAGGCTGTACTGGTCAGGAATCAGATGAAACATTGTAGAGTGAATTGAGATCAACTCCTTCACTCCCTATTAAATCTTTATCAAAAAATTCCCAAAAACTGGCAAAAAGTCCATTGCTTTGTAGGATGCACAAAATCTATCACTAGAGTCATGTAAACAGTGTTCCTATGTATGGCTGCACATTGCTGCTTACATGCTTGTTATTACTGTTGCTGGCAATGAAAGAGGTGAAAATAGGACACTGCATTTGTTACAGTTGTTAAGCTTGCTAGCCCTGTTCAAGTCTGTTGTATGCATTATCAGTCAGGTGACTAGGTTGTGTCAGCTTTGTATCACTCAATCAGCTCTATTGGCAGTGCAAGACTGCTAATGCTCCTAAAAAAGTTGTTAATGTAATACATGAACCAGAAAATGTGCAGTTACAAACAGTCATCAGTTTCAGAACATATCATTTCTACCTCATCTTTTGTCCACAGAGCTCTGTCTGCAGATCATAGTTGTTCTAGTGGACACAGCCATCAACCTCTGACTTGGTCTGTACATATTTTGCCTATGTGCCAGCTTGGTCTCACTTGCCTTGTGGCTGCCTGTCTTTAGGGTATATAAGTAGCTCTGCTATCTTAGATAAATACCCATCTTTCTCTCTCTTACCAGTGCACTTGTCAACCAAAAAATGCATTTATTCAAGACTGAAGCCATGTAAGACTTTGTAGACCTTATACATGAGACAACAGGTTCTTTCCTGAAACTGGACCCATGTACTAAAATCTTAGTAACCTGTATTCTTCCACCAGACCAGATTCCCTGGTTTCTGAACTTCTGTGAATCTGTAGCCTGGTGATTTCAGATCCATCTGTAGTAGAACTGGCCACTTTATGACACAAGGAAATGTTTATACCCATTTATTGACTAGACAGATAGTAAAAGATTTTAAGTCCACTAAGGAAGATCTGGTAGAGGACAAGGTGATTGTGTCTAAGAAGGCATGTATTATAGATCTGGAGAATACTACTAGTATGTATGTATCTTCAGTCCCACCCCAGACTTTCTTCTAAAATCACATCTCCTTAAGAACAGGCAATTGCTCAAAAATGATAAAGTCCCAGGTAAACTTTCCTAGTGACTGTAAGACAGCTATCTTCTTTTGTCAGAAGAGTAGGCTCTATATACCCAAGGAGTTACTGCATCTACTTGCAAGTGATTCAAGCAGCACCACTCTTCTTAAGAATATAGAGATTGTAACATCTGTTAATGTTAGTTCTGCTTATTTTACTTGTCATGTCTTGAAAAGTACACTATGTCTATGTTCTCTAAAGGATTTTTAACAGACTTTGTATTATAGAACACATTCATGGAACAGGCACGTGTGATAGTGGCTCTCAAGGCACATATTACTTGATGTATATGATGACAAATGTGAAAGGCATAAAGAAGGATATGTCTAAAAAGAAGTATGTAGCAAAAAATGCTCCAGAGAGTACCATAAACAAACTAACTGTATGAATCTTGTTGCAGCTAGTGAAGATAACAATAAAGAATAGGTATGTTTAGTTCCCAACAGTTACTAATCCACCTCTGCTGATATTTTGACTTTAGCAGAATGTTGACAAGTGCAAACAAGTACACTCTTCATTATGTATATAGTCAAATGTATTGACAAATGTGCAATTTTAACAATGATCAACCTCACAATACTTGATTGATTTCTTATGACAACTGTTAGATCGATCTAAGCGAGCTCCTGTATTATAAACCAAGAATTGGGCACTCACTACTCGAGAATAATGCAATATACTTATGCTATATTTTAGCAACCGAATACTTAGAGATAAGATAGATCTCTAAAGGCGACTATTAGATCTATATCTTTTAGACATTAAGGTTCAATGTATAGCTAACTTGTTGCTTCCAGTACCCGTATCTAGACTAATAATATGCTATGTGCCCCCGTTATAGAAAAGTGTGCTGCAGTCGTCGTGATCGTCGTCAATCTGGCTCGCTCCGCACGCCTGCGAGAGTGGATCAGTCAGGTGATCAAGTTATGTCATCTTGTATTACTCAATCAACTCCGTGCAATCATCTCCTCGTCTTCGTCATTAACCACTGACCTCCATCTCCTGCTCCTTGTTGTCCTACAGAATTTCCAAAGATGCCGCGTGCAGAAGGCGAGTTTACATACTTAGTACTGCTGACATACCTACTAATACTTTTGTAGTCGGAACGCCAAAATACCTCGCGAACAAGATGAAGTCCAAGGGACTCCAGCGGCTGCGATGGTACTGCCAAGTCTGCCAAAAGCAATGTCGAGATGAGAACGGCTTCAAGTGTCATTCTCAAACCGAGTCGCACCTTCGGCAGATGCTTGCTGTCGGGGAGAATGCGTCTTCGCATATTAACAACTACTCGATGGAGTTCCAGCATGATTTCGTTCAGTTGTTATCGAGGCGGTGAGTCGTTCTCTTATTCTTATAATACCAGAATCGAAGGGATTGATTAAATGTTTGGATATCCGTAGATTCGGCACGAAACGCGTACACGCCAACCGCGTGTACCAAGAACTCATCCAAGACAAGCAACACACGCACATGAACGCCACACGCTGGGTCACACTCAGCGAGTTCGTCAAACACCTCGGTCGGTCCGGAATCGCTCGGGTAGACGAAACAGAGAAAGGATGGTTCATCGCATGGATCGACAGCTCACCCAAAGCATTGCAGAAGCAGGAAGCGTCAATGAAGAAGGAACGTGCTGCGATGTCAGACGAGGCAAGGGAAAGGATGTTGATCGCTGAGCAGATTGAGCGAGCGGAGAAAGAGAATGAGATGAAGGGGGAGGGCTCGTCGTCGAGTGAAGGGGAGGAGAAACCCGCTGTGGAAGAAGGGTTGAAGAAGGATGAAGGCGAGAAAGTCGTGCTATCCTTCAGCGCTAAACCAGCCACCGCTTCATCATCCAACTCACCACCTGACTCTACCTCTTCAACTCCGGCACCAATTGGCTTGAAACTCAACCCTCTCAAACCCATGGCAACAAACTCACTCAAACGGCCAAACGTTTTCAAGAACGCTCTCGCGGGGAAAGCAGACAAGAACCAAGACAAGGAGAAGGACCCGGAGAAAGTGGCCGGGAAGAAGCGCGATGCACCTATGAGCGCGGCAGAGCGTCTCATTTTTGAGGACCAGGAGCGCAAACGACGGAAGATGGAGAGAGACGCAGAACGGCTTACTACTTGAGTTCATTCCTGTCTTTCGCTTCTTGTTAATTTTCGAATTCTTACTTTGCTCAGTTTCTGTTGTATTTAACACCACGGATCAATGTATTAGAGTTTCAGAGGGCTCTTGTAATCATCAGGATAATATTTCTTTGTATAAATGTGGTTCCATCTCTCTCCAGGTGGTTTTGGCGCAAGAGATCATGGAACTGAGTTGCTGGTAACTGTACCGCGGAGTGAGCCACGATATCATGATGTTGTATGCCCACCCATAAATTTCTCTTTCCAACCATGCCTCGCTATACAAAAGATATATGGGTATAACTCTTTCATCTAACGAGCGACCCTATGGCAATTGAATCCTGTATTTATCTCCCCATTGCTACAACTGAATTCGCATCAGGACATATAGAACACATCGATTTGGCTCATTCGCCTAATTATTCAGGCTGTGGCATTCCTTCAGTCTTGTAATTACCTTCTTATTGCTACAACTTAATTCTGCTTTTAACTCATAATTAAAGTTACGGAATGACTCTTCCTGCCCTTGTAGCTTTGGCAGCCTCACTCTGTGCTTCATTGCGTAAGTAGCGTCCATAAATCTCTGCATAGTGCTCCTTGTCCTAAAAGGGCGCATACAGTCAGCTAATTGATCACTCCGATCATAATGCAAATAAAAAAAGGAACATACACTAGTAGTCTTCGAAATACTCTCCCTCTTCTCGAGTATACTCGCCCATTCGCTCCAAGCATCCGAGACTTCGGTACGCTTATACCCACGATTCTCCGCGATGATATAATCGCGCACCGCCCACGGTGCAATTGCAACGTCAACCAAACTCAACTCTTCACCCAGGAAATATGGCCCCTTGCGTTTCTGCGACAGTTGGGCTAGGCCATCGTAAGGTCCTTCCGAGCCTCGTTTTGCTTCTCGCTCTCCTGTGACTGAAGAAGTCGAAAGAAAGCTGGAATAATGCGCTTGGTTATGTGGTCTGCCCAAAGTCGAACGTGTGCGCGGTCGTATGGATCTTGTGGGAGGATGTGTGGAGCTTTGGAAGGGTAGAGATCTTCGAGGAATTCGCAGAGAACGAGAGATTCGTAGAGTGCTTTACCGCGGTATTCGAGAGCTGGGACGAGGCCCTTTGGATTGATATCTGTAAAATTATCAGTTTTTATTTTGAAGAAGTTAGGGTGTGAATAGTGAATGAGATGAAGGTGGAGGAAATTGAACGAACCGAGAAAATTGCCTTCGTTCATATTCTCGATAATAATGTTCCTTGATATTGCTTACCCATCCACTGTAGAAGACAACTTCTTGGGGTTCCTGATGCTGTTCCACAGTTTTCGCGGCTGCCCCTGTTGCATGTGGCTGGATATGCTCATCCGGAATAGACATATTTGCGTCTTATTATATTTGACAAGCTCTGCTGAGATGAGAGTTAAGTAGTTAACCCGTGTGCTATGGGTTTCACATCCAGTCAACTATTTGAACTGGTAATGCCGTCGATCATGACGTGCTTCTGCCGATGAGGTCATCCATTGATTATTAATTTATAAATTATTTTCAATGTTTCATCTTTCCATCTTTTCATTTTTATGCCAACCGCATATCCTACATCACTGAAATTTCTTACAATCGTGGAGGTCTGTACAGATGCACCACAATGGAGGCAACAGCAAACAGCTCTTTACGGCGTTTCACTGTAGATTTATTTCTACCGCCATCTGCACGTTTTGATAGCATGGGATAAACTCTATTTCGTTGCTATCTGCTCTTCTCTTTGCGAGCATTACTCAAACCTATTGTTTGAAATGTTTCGTCTAGATCTGCCCTGCTCTAGTCTAAAGCGATTGATCGGACTGCTTGATCTCAGTCGATCTCCTTGTTTTCACCGTAATGGCGTAACTTTTGGATCTCGTCGGTGGTCGGCATCCTCGGATACGGAGCAAATGAACGTCGGCATGAGTAGCATATGTCCGACCGCATATTTCGTTTATCTTGCATTTGTCCCGAGCGTCTAAAGTCATCAAGTGGAAGTGATGGAGGTGGAATCTCTTGTTCCATCATTCTAGGTTAGGAAAAGCCGAGTGTACAGATTGAGGCACAATCAACGTGCCGTTTATGTCAACGACGCTAGAAGAAGAGCACGCAGCTACCTATCGTCAGACATGGCGCCTATATTTGCGATAGGATAAAATCGGGATTCAACCGCTCCACAGGTCTCCAAATTTCTGTAGTCCATTTTACTTTTACTGAGCTATCTTCGACAACATGGAGCTCTTTGCTCGGTCAGACGTCGTTCCCGTCTCTCCTAGCAGAGTTCCGACATGGGTCCAGCAAATGCGCTCTGGACAATACTTTCAACTGGCAACCACCAGTGCTCTGCTTTATGACTGCAGTGCGTGCACAGTATTTTAGAACGACAGGCTCTCACATATTTCTAGTTATCACGATGGATAAAGAGGTAAATACTGGAGTTCTTGTCTTATACTTTGTAGGATGACATTCTTCTCGTAGGTACACTATTTCTGGGTACGTAATATCTCGTTTCCAGTGGACGGTTTTCTTAACCGACGGAGGTAATACAGAAGAGTCCGTGGAAAGCTGTCAACGGCGTATACTTTGCAGTGCGTAGATACACGAATATCCAGCACTGTTTGTCCTTATTGGAACATCAATAGAATCGATATATCGGGATCTATGGAACCGTTGCCCACCACGTCTGTGAGTAAAGCATCGACATTCTCCTCGAGATCCTGCTGAGCCATTGTGTAGGGTATTTATATGGAGTAGACATCACAAGGTGCGTTTCATTGTTCTCAGCTATTAGCCTCAGATATTCAAATCTCTTCCAGTTGTAAGCGGTTATTTTCCGAGACCAATAAAGTCAGTGGTAATATTGCTCAGGTAACTTCTCACAATGGAGCCGAAACATATCCTGTACGTCTATCGATCACGTTCCGGAGCTCTCTCACTAAAGAATTACAGTTTGGTGTACCATATTGTTGATTGACTGCAAGTACAACCACAATACAGCAAAAGCTACAGTTAACATGTCCTTAGATATCCTTATGCTCCGGGTTCTTGCACTCTACTCTCAAGGTACGTGGATATGTCATCACTGATGCATCACCTTGCTCATTAGATGTAGACAGGTATCTTAGGCTGCTATCCATATTTCTCAAGGCGCTTCTCGCGCTTGAAGCAGCATTCAAAATGGCGTTACTTGTTTATCTCACGTTAGAGGGAGAAGGTAAGAGTCTCGTGCGATCTGATAGTACAGACGCTCGATACGCTATTAGTTGCGGTGGCAGGCCTTCCTTGGGAAGGTGCCACTGTATGTGGACAACTTGGATCCGGCCCTTGGCAGTGGGGCATGATTAATTGGTGAGGGTTGTCGTGCTACGTCAAGGACGCCTAGTCTGACTGCGAAGTAGGATCCTTCCAATGGTGTATTCAGTCCTACTCATGGCTCTCGCACTGTACAAAGCCACGGAATTCTGGAAGATGCAGGCCGGCTTCAAAGGATTCAAGCTTGTCAAAGTTCTCATTCAGGATCAAGCTATCTATTTTCTTCTGTGAGACATCTCTCTTTGTGTCTTCCGACGTGTAAATCGTGCTAAGATGTTTATTCAGTGTCGTCGCCTGTGTCACAATGAACGTCATAGAGTACAAGATATACTTAGCGAACAATTTCTGGGCCAGCGTTTTGATAAACCTTGGTAGTGCGTCATGGCTTTCGGTCCTTGGCAGTCGTTTGTTGTTCAACCTGAAAGAGGCAGGGGAGAATGGACTCAATGAAGGAATGAGTTATAGAATGAAGCCTTTGTCACTGGGCGAGATGAGTGATATCCAATTTGCTGAAGGAAGACCGGACACGCCAGTGTAGTTTTATCTTAGCCGAGTAGGTGGACAAGATATGAAGCAGCGTGATTTCTTACATCTCCAAATAAGAAATATTTCTCACATCCTTAATGTCTTTGTTTGTTGGAAGTTAAATCACGTTTGTACTCATGGCATGACCTATTGTTGCACGTTTTACGTATCTAACCTGAAGGCGAGATGACATGATTTCGAATGGCAGTTCCTTTCTCGTCTTCCACTTTCTCCTTCACTATTCACTTCCACACTTCAACAATGCATAAAAGTAAGCAAGGAATGATTTTATCAGCCCTATCCTTTCTCTAAAGGGCTCATAATTAATTTTGTCTTATAACTGCATAGTTTCTTTTACTGCTCAGAATGATAACTCCATGCCTTTGTTGTTAAGGATTGCTGGCCTCAAAGAGTGCACCTTCAAACTATGGATTATCTGATTTCACACATATGTACACCTTTGTTAGAGAATCATTGTAGTAAAACTATATAATACTCATCACTATAATGTGTGCATATACTCATACTCCATTCATCTTCCACCATACAATACCACTCTCCAAAGAACCATATTGTTCAGTTTACTCAATTCAGAGGTGTTACGAAAGTTTGTTGACTTAATATATGATGCTGCAACCCAGGTACCAAATTGGAATCCTGATGATTTGATAGAGGTATGTAACTTTCGAGTTAGCTGTGGACTTAAGCCTGTGACTTATTGTATACTTCCAGCCAGGTGACTTTGGCCACATTGATAAACAAACAGGCCAATTTGTGAAAGAAGGTAATGTTTATGTACATTAAATGACTAGGGCAATTGCACAAGGCTGCCCAATTACAGATTGTGCAGAGAGGAACTTTAGGTACATAGTATGCAAGACTGTAAGGCTGCATCAAATTGAAGCTGGACCCAATGTGTATGTGTTATTTTCGTTTTTCTGAAGCCCATTTATCTGTGTTCCTTAGGGGTCTTGCTGGTCTTACAGACACAAGTCTAAACCTTGACCTTACATTCACTTCAGACTGTAGTGCATTTCTTGGTCTGTACAGACTGTAAGTAAAGTGTATGCCTAGGGAACTGTGTTCACTGCTTACAAAGGACCCTGGAAGTGCTAAGGTCCTGAAAAATAAAGAAATTGTGATGAAAGTATTTCACTGTTCAACATATGCTTCCTACTTCTCTGCTAAGAGTAAGGCATATAGTACTTTAACTAAAATTTACTAATTAAATATTGTCTAATAGATTCTGAGAGATTTGGACTTTGTCTTAGTGCAGAACTTCCTGTGGTAGCAGCTCCTGCTGTTACAGCTGGCAGTAAAGTCGGATCAAACTTTATAGTAACACTTCTACTATTAATAGTGTATTTGATTCTGGATATAACCAGTCTTGTGCATTTATACCTCTTTACAAAGTTGCAACTCTCAAGCACTTGGGTAGGCAAGAGTCACCCAAACTGGATGCTAAAGAAGAAGACAAAAAATAGTATGTGTTTAAAACTAAGTAATTGATACTGATGGCTTATACAAACTTTCAGTAGTTTCCTAACAACAGACATACTATAGAATACACTAGACAAGGATGGAAATGAGTGTGTTTTTGAGGATGATGTAAGTCATTTGTATTCATACTAATAGACTTGCTAATTGACTGAGATTTGTGGTCTGATGACAAATTTGACTAGCAAATGCATTTATTAGAATAAATAGACTTCTGGTTTTGATAGAATACATATAAATGGTTATATAATACTGTTTGCCTATTTTAGACTCTATTGGATTGATTTTGGTAGTGTCCTTTAGACAGATATATTGTTCAGACTGTTTGTTAAGTGATGAAACTACAAAGAGGATAGTTCAGTTCTTTAAGGTCTAGTAGTCTCATTGTAACTACTTGGATATAATTGAGTCCTCTGTCTTCTTACAATTCAAGCAAACTTCTTTTACATTAGAATATTGTAACTCTTTAATGAAAAACTCACATTCATTGCCTCTGAAAGCTTCTCAGACATAATTCTGACTGTACATTTTAACAAGTGTAGCAGGAGTGCCCTAAGTACTCTCTCTTATTGAGACATCAAGCAAGTGTCTACCTTATATACTACATAGTGAAGTCTGATAATCTGAGACATTCCAAGTGTAGTAACTCTACATAAGGCAATTGGGGATTTCCTAATCCAGAGCACAATCTAATACTCCCCTTCAAGCATTAATTAAGAACTAGGACTGTATGTCTAATAGTTTGTTTAGATGCTTGATCTGTAGGATGTGGAGAGCTTTTGTAAGGATGTCTGCTAATTGGTTCTGTGATTGAACATAGCATACATTGATGTAATTGTTTTGAATATAACATTGCACAAAGTCTTTTCATAAATCAAGATGTTTAGTGTGAGTGTTGTACATTATTTTGTCAGACTTTACAGTCTTTATTACACCTTGATTATTGTAATAAATTGTAATGGGTGCTGATTCAGTCTACAGTACTTCTTCAGCAAATTGTTTGAGCCAAATGGCTTCTTGAGTAGCATATGCCAGCACTTACAACTCTGCTTTGTAAACAGATAGTAGTACCAGGTTTTGCTGTTTGCTTGACCAAGATATGGTTGATTTAGCTAATTGAAAGATGTAGCTGTTTATTGCTTTATGTCCTTCCATCATTTGTCTGTCTGTATCACAATAGCCTTGTAGTTTTAAAGCATTCATGCTTCCAAGTTGAAGCCAACAATTTGTTGTATATTTTAAATATGTAAAGTAATGTTTCACTACTTTGTAGTAATGTGTTTAGGGCTTTTGTAAGTAGCATGCTAATTGCCCAGTAATATAAGATATGTCTGGCTGTGTGCAATCTGTAACATATCTTAACAATCCTACCATATTCATGTATGGTGTTGTTTCATTATTACTTTCATTTGTATTGTATGTATTGTTTGTATTGTTAGATAGATCTATTCCAGGAGTAATAGGTGTTTGTAGTGCCTTTTCGTTTTCGAAGTGGTAACACTTGATTATACTTTCAATATAATGCTTTTGTTGTAAGCTAATTGTTTGTTAAGGTCTATCTCAGCTTATTTCAATGCTAAGTAACCAATGTATTTTGTTACTGTCAGTAAATGTAACATGTTGTCTTAATGCATGTTTAAATACTATTATTATAGTGATAGTTTCACTAATAATTGTAATATTGTTGATGTGCATAAATGTTACAAGAATCATTTTATTATTTTGTTTCTTGTAAAATACAGTGTGATCATAATTAGCTTGTTCTAATCTGATCTTAAGTAGTAGTTCAGTAATCTTCTTGTACTATTGTCTACCTGCTTGTTTCAATCTGTATAACACTTTATTTAAGTGTAATGCCTGTCTAGGTTTAATATCTGTAAGTAGCCTGCCTAGTAGCAGTTTCACATAAATGAGTTCATCCTCATTTAATTCTCTGTAAAGATATGCAGATTTTACATCTATCTGATGTATTTCATAGTTCTTAGATGCTGCCCAAGATAACAATAATTGTACTGTTGATAGTTTTGTTACTGGAGCAAATAAGTTGTCAGAATAGAAGTCTATTCCATTCTTTTGAGCATATCCTTGCACTACAAATTGTGCTTTGTATTTGTCTATTTGGCTGTTAGCCAGTCTTTTAATTTTATAGACAAATTTTGTTTCAATTATATTTGTATTTGTAGGGGGGATAGTATATATCTATGTGTTTCATTGTTGAAGTGACTGTATTTCATCCTTCATAGCTTTAATCCACTGTTCTTTGTCTATACATGTTATAACTTTGTAATATGTTAATAGATTGTTATAGACTTTGTTAAGGAATTTGTTAAATTCTGTTAGATACATAGTTAGGTTTATATTGTCTTTGTAATTTAAACCTATAGTTTGTTTAACCAGTCTTTGCTCTTGTGTAGAGTGTTGTATGACAGGTTCTTTATCTTTATTATTGTTATTAGGAAGAGTTTTATTATTGTTTGATGTATTATTGTTATAATTATTCTCCCCTTCAATCCTAGAC